TTTGTGGCGCCAAGGCATTGCAACTTGCACTGAGAGAAAGGAAAGGTTCTGCAAATAATGCAGAACGGGGTCTGATAACAACTGCCTGACGGTTCGAGGGGAAGGAGTAATGGAAGAGAAATGCAAGGAAATTGAATAAAAAGGCATGTGCTTTCAGAAGAAGTAGAAACAGTAAAGCTATGATAAATCCACAGGAAATCCTCTCTTGTTCGTAGCGACAGTAGATCTTTACGCTCATGGGAATGGGGGCCATGTCATAAACAGCTATCTTTCTCTCTCTCCTAAATCATCGAAATTCCCTCTTTTTATTGTTAGATGTTTTTGCTTTTCTCTAAGTGTCTGCGTCCGACACACAAAAGTAGCTCTCTCTCTCTAGGGGCCCTCTACAGAGGCTTCTCCCTCTCCATTGGCCCTCTCCCGCTGCAGGCTCGTTAACACTTTTCCCAGCAGCAGCAGCAGCAGCAGCAGAAGCAGCTTATTTATTGCATATCAAGTGACGCCTCAATCCCAGGGCAGTCCATGCAACACCGCCACCAGAAGAAGAAACAGAAGAAGGGGGCGCTGGTAGACAACTGTCCGATGGGTCTGTCCGTCTCCATTCTCCATCGTTTCTGCCAGGCCAAATGATGTCGTCAACGTCGCTTCAGAAATGTTTTGGCATAAATTAAACAAGGCCGCCGCACTCTCGACTCCATTCCTCGGGCCTGGTTCCCGGGCATTGTCCAGATGGAGATGCAGGAGGAGAAGGAGGAAAACGAGGAGAAGGAGGGTGTTGCCCCATTGGGGGACCGTTCTCGTTCTCGTTCTCCTCCCTTCCCTTTCCTTCCGCTGTTTGCATTGCATTTTGTCACACGTGGAGAGCTCAAAAAGCGACGCCAATTTGTCTGAAATGTTTTGAATTCTAAGCGCTTCTGAAAAGGAGAACAGGACGATGACAGGGGGAGAAGGGAACTGCAGGAGGGGGAGGGGTAGGGGGAGGTGGAGTATATATCAGGATGGGGGACTGGCTGATGATGGCCAGATCTTGATGGGGCATGCGGATGTGTTGCTGGCGTTGAATGCGGGATTCTGTGTGCCCTTTGTGTCGTCTGCCATATTTACCTAGTGGAGCGTACTCCTGGCTGAATGTGTGGCAGGTTGCAGGTTCCCTGAAGAGTCCCCGGGCTATTTGGCCAGCTCCAGCTCCACCGCATCCCCCGCTCTGACGTTTGATTTTTCCATTTTGGTACCACTAACCACCCCTCCCCCCCCCCGGCGAGAGTCAATCAATCCATGCCCCCCCAGTTCCACTCTCACTCCCACTCCTACTCCCACTCCCTGTCCCTCTCCCTCTTCCGTGTGAATTATGTGGCGATAAAGTTGGTGCAGAACGGTGCAGGATTGGTGCACGGTGCAACTTGTTACCCATATTGTGTGGCAGCAGCATCGGCAGCAGCATCGGCAGCAGCAGCAGCAGCCTGAAAGCGAAACACCTGCTGCAGATGCCACAGTCTGTCCAGGGTCCAGGGCCAGCTCCAGGGTCTGTCGTCTCTCTGTGGACCACAGGACCCATAGCCATAGCCATAGCCAGGGCCAGGGCCACGGCCAGGCCAGGCGGCTGGTCTCTTCCTTCACACACGCTGATCTTATCGCCGCTGCACTGCACACACCCAAAACGAAAGAGTTCGCCCCAAAAAAAGAGAACAAAACTTGAGTGGCTGGGGTGGGTGGTGCGAGGGGGAGACAAGGAGAACAGAAGAATTGCGCGGCTTCTTCACTCCCCCTCAATTTCGTGGGCTGCTGTGCTACACCAACACCAACACCAACAACAAGACCAACACCAATGGCCAGCGATTATCTCTTCGCTGACTTCGGGAATGATGATGATGACGATGATGTTGCTGTGCTTCTCTCACTAGCTGCGAGAATGATGGGGATGATGATGATGAAGATGCTTTTATGCTCTCACTGACCATCACAACGATTATGGTGCTCTTATGCTCCTGAGCAGGGGCCCAATGAGCAGGATTTGCTATTTTAATAAGGTGGGGCAGAGTTGCCTTTCGCTCTTGTGTGTAGCGAGGAAAGGAAACAGAAATTACGAGTTATTTCTGGCCATTCCTCACCCTATTCAAATACACCTTGCACGTGAGAATGATCATTATGATTTTGAGCTCCTCGCGCTGCCTTGGCCTTGGGCATTATTCTGACTGTCTCCACTTGCACCTCCTCCTTCTCCTCCTTCTCCTCCTTCTCCTCTATCTCCTCGCTCTATCTTTCTCTTGGCGTTTCTGTTTTTGTCGCTGATTCGTTGCCCATTACCTCTAGCACCAGTTCTTATGTTTTTTTTCCTTCGCTTTTGCTTTTGCTTTGGCCATTTGCTCCTGGCTCTCCTGCTCCGTGGGTCTCTCCTGGTTCTCCTCTCCCCCTTTGCCTGGGACTGGCAATGGGACTCGGCCAAGTCAAGGGCCTCGGCTCGCCTCATTGTCTGGCCACGATGCGGCTGGCCAAGAAGCCGGTGGATGTTGGCCCCGCTAATTTCACCTTTTCACAGATCTCCCTGCCTCCGTTGTCCCTCCACCTCTTTCGGGTTGCTCCTTTTGCAATGTTCGCTGTGGAGTTTGTGTGTGGGTTGCAGCTCAGGCGCATTCCTGGGCCACAGTTTCAACGTCTTCTGGTTCTTGAGAATTGAATTTAAACGATGGCATATGCCCTATGACGTTACGTTTGAGTTGAATTGATATTTTATACGTCCGATTAATCATATCACCGCTCTGTTTTACTCTTAAATTGTTTTTTTAGTGGAAATAAATGACAATTCCAAAAATACTTGGCATAAGAAACGCTCCTCAAAATGCAAAATATTGCTCTAGAGTGTATTCAAAAGTCCACATTAAGCCTCACTTCACTTCCTCACTTTTGCTGCTGTCTTGGCTTGTGGGAGGCTCATGAAAAATTGAGCAAGTGCCGCACTTGCAATTTCAACAGCTCATCTGCCGCAGCGCCGACCAATTTCTTGGCCCAAACTCCAGTCTTCAGACTTCGACTCTCAGCTTCATCTTCAGCTTCAGCTTCAGCTTCGGCTTCGACAGTGGGCTGCCGACAGACCTCGGAAATTGTGAAATCCTTGGGCTTTTGGATGGGTTCTGGGCCTTTGGCCCCTTGGTAGTTTTTTCAACCGGGGAGTGTCTTAAATTTTAGTTTTATTTTGCAGCAGAACAAACCAAAAGGAAACACTTTCCATTGCGGTTGGAATCACAACAGCAAGGCAATTCCCCCTTGATTGTATTTTTGGGTGTGAATTATGCATAAATGAAAATTGGCAAACGAAACTGATTTAAAGTGTGGAAGAAAAACCATGGGAATCTGAAAGTTAATTGTGGAATTGAAAAAAGAGAGGAGCTCCGCACTTCCCCAATTGGTGGCTCAAGTTCCTCCACAGCTCACGATAGCCGTCGATACCTCCAATTATCGTTGACATTTGATCAGTCCAATTACTGGGGAAATGTCATCTTCAATAGGGAGATTCCTTCTTCCATTGAGGGCTCTTATTCCAAGATCGATTAGAACATTTGCAGTTCTGTCAATGACAAAAGCCACCTTCCTTCCTTCCTGTCTTCCTTCCTTCATCAAATGGTAGTCCTCCAAAAGTACGAATTCAATTACGTAGCTCAGCAGGAGACATCTCTCCATCCATCTGCATTTCTCTGTACGAAGAGAAATACCTCTTCTATGTCATGTCAATGACCAGGTTCTCAGAGCTCATCGCTTACTCACCTGGCGACCTGTCACCACCGACAGGAGCAGGAACGGGAACGGGAACGGGAGCAGGGACTAGGACAGAGATAGGGACATCGACAACAGGGAGGCAAATGGGGCACAAAGACATAGTTCGAAAGATAAAGCTCTCTCCGGCATGAATATGCAGCTGATGTGCACTTTCCTCTCCCTTCCTTTCCATTCCTTTCCTTTCCCTCCCATCCATCCATCTGTTCCATCCTTTGGCTTAGTCTATGCTATGGGTGTGCTTGCCTTAAGCTCCTGCTGCTCACATTCCTCACAGACGACAGTCTTTTGCACTTGCCCGTGCAGTTTGAATGCCCTACAAGAAGGCAGGCTATTATTGGTTTAGAGAGTAGTTTGTTAGATAAGGTGCTGCTTTTGAAAGTACTTCCATAAACATAACCGAAAACTACTTCGAAGGCAAGCTACTGGGCAAGGAATAGGTACTTTAACCCATCTGAAAGAGCTGGGAAAATTTCTTAGATCTGAAAAAAATTCAACGAATCTCTACAGCTTATAGTCTAACAAGAATCTGCCTATTTCGGATTCTACCAAAATCTATATTATATAGCTCTCATAGGAATGAGATCCCCGATAAGTCATTTAAGTAATCTACAAACCTCTGCACGCGACGTGTATTTTGTTTTTTCACTCTCGGGACCGAGCTTCGGTCCTGCTTGTGCACCCTGGCGCCTGTGGCCGATGAATAATTTTCGTAGGGTATCGAAATCTTCGTCACTCCTTCCCCGTTAGTTACTTCCGTTCTTGGCGTTGTTTTTGTTTTGGTTTTTGTTGAAGGAGGGAGTAAAAACATTGTAAAGCGAGTCATAGATTTCCGTTTGTGTGTGCCTCGGAAACAATGGCATTTTCATGTTGCACGTAAAACGAGAGAAAAATAAACCAAAACGGTGGCAGGAACAACAATTGATAACGACGCGTCGCTGCAAGAGACAAACGGAGGGCAGAGGACGATAGACACTCGCACAATATACTTTTAAGTGCAATTTCAATTCTACCATCGATATTGCACTGCCACTGGCACTGGCACTGGCCCTGGCGCCTTCTGCTAAGTGAACACAAAAAACGAATCACCACAGCGATACGAGTGGGAATATGGAAACCAAAGTGCCCCTAAAGATTGGGAATTTCGGTGGACTTCCTGTCAGAGATAAGCAGAGGGAAAGGTTCCGTTCCTCCCAGATCTGTATAAATAGTCGGGTAAACCTGAGGGAAAGACACAGTTCAACTGAAACCCTCAACATGGTAAGTAATCCACGAGAAAGAAAAGGTCTTTCCGGGTCTAACCATGGACTCTCTCCCCGACTTCTCCTCAAGCAATCTCTGCGTCTACTGGTTATACTTGCTCTTCTGATGGCAACGGCTCGGGCCAGGATCATAGAGAGTGGAGCGGCGACTGAGCAGGAGATTGGTGCTTCCCCGGAAGCAGTCAAACCTGTGGAAGCAATCAAACCCGTGGAAGTGGAGAAGCTAAAGGAAAACGTAGGCATTCAGGAGAGCCAAGTGCCTGTCCAGGCAAACCAAGCTGTCCAGGAGCGAAGAAAAGTGATCGAAGAGAACCAAGTGATCCAGGAAACTTCAGAAGTAAAGCCTGAAACCCACCAATCAGCTGGCAATGAAATACCCAAGGATCAGGCACCCATCGAGAAAGTGGAAGGCCAAAGCCACCAACAGGCAGAGCAGCAGAAACAACAGCCACAGAAGGGAGAGGCAGTGCAGCCGAAGGGACAGTCAGAGCAACAGAAGGGACAAATTAAAGGTCGCGAGATCGAACTGGTCTTCGAGCAGCCCGGACAAACCCTGCTGCAGTACGAGAATGTGGGCCAGCTCCAAGGACAGCTACCCAATCTGGACAAGATCTTCAAGTATCCGGGAGCCCAGCTGCTGAATGCCAGCGATGTACAGTACTCGCATCTCTTCAACAAGTTCCAGACGGCCCCCAGGGTGGAGTTCGTACCCACACTGAACACGACGGGCGCCAATGTCACACAGCACATACACAACCACACGCACTACTACCAGAACCAGAAGAAGCCATTCCCCTTCCTGCCCAATCTCTTCGAGAAGCAGGAGACGACCTATGTGAACCGCACCTCTCCCTCGGGCAACGTGACCTACGTGTACGAGGAGGGAAAGCCGTCGGGAGGAGGCGCCTTCCCATTCCCTGCACTGCCCAATCCCTTTACCGATTTCCCCAAGGTCGTGGGCCTCAGTCTGGTGCTGCTGCCGAATCCCTTCTACAAGGGACAGTCGTCCAGTGCCAATGATCCTTCTGTAAGTCCCACCGAAGCCACGAAAGCATATCACTACTTTGAGAAGTTCCGCGGCTTTGCCGATGAGTCATCCTCTAATATGCAGCAGAATCAGCAGCAGAAGGCCGGAAACCGTTTCTACTTGATCTCCAATCCCCTGCTGAACCACGGCTCCGAGGAAGGTCGCGGCGAGAAGGTCCAGAACACGAATGTCCTGCTGCCAGTGAATCTGGCTGCCTTGCCGCTTCTGGTGCCTGCCCCAGAGACCAACCAGGAGACGACACCCAAGCAGGAACCGACTGTGGGCCACATCAAGATCGAGGATCTGCTCAAGACATCCAAGTTCTATGTGGGACAGCCGCTGCAGTTCCAGCCGGTCAATGGCAATGGCATCGGCGTCGGCGTCGGCAACGGTCAAAAGCAGAGCCAGGATGCAGCCATTCGGCAGTTGATTCTCACACAATTCAACCAGCAACAGCAGCAGCTGCAGCAACAACTGAAGCTGCCCCTTAAGGACGAACGTCGCTCACAGTCTGCTGCCGTCCCTGTGGAGGAGGGCGAGGAGAGCTCTGTCCTGTTTGCAGTGGAGATACCCAAACCCATCTATCGCTTCTTCAAGGGGATCTTCGGCGGATTCTCGGGCTAACTAAAAGACCTTCCAATGACCCACAGAAAACACCAACCAACGAGCAAGGAACCCTTCTAATACCTAGATTTAATTATTTTTTTTTTTTACTTAAAACTAAACCCCGCTCCGCATGGTATCCCTATGATTACCATCTCATCTTCATGCAATATATTAAAAAATACTACTCAAAAAAATCAATAATCATTCCTTCAGAGAATTCTAACCTTAAACAATGCAAATATTCTCCTTAAGAAGTGTCCCAGCCAGGTGTCTAATTAAATTTGAGAAAATCTTTAAACTAGATTTCCACCTGCTCTAAAGGAAACATCTTTAATTCAGGGACACATTAATGAGGTTTCCCTCCAGCAGAAAACTCATGCAAATATGATAAATGTGTGCATTTAGGAATCATTTTCCAGGCATCACTCTCCCCCCTTGTTCAGCTCCCCTCTTGTGGGGTGGGAGCGCACATATTAGGTTATCATCATAATCAAAATGTGAGAAAACCCATCCACAGATGGAGAGATGGAGCCATTATGCAAAATATATAAACACACTCGTACGTATATTCCACACAAATGCATTCATGACTCCTGGAGCAGACCTTGTCCCCGCTCAGCCCTGCCCTGTCCTATCCCTTCGGATGTCAGTATTTTCATTTCATTTCGTTTGCTGAAAGAGAAGGACGCTCGGAATACGGACGTATGTATCCGTGTGCATATGTACGTATATCCTTTTGCCGTTTGCCATTTTAATGAATACATAATTAGTCTTTTTGCCAAGTTTCCTTCCACTCGTTCCCTCTATCCTATCCTAGTATTGCTGCTGTTGCTATTGCTGCCACTGCTCCTGCTCTCCTCCACCGACTTCTAGAGCTTCTGCTGCTGCTGTTGCACCTGTTCAAATCATTTCACATCTCTCTGAATTTAATGCTCATGCAGCGGCACGTTCTGACCATGGATGCTGCATGTGGCAGTGGTTCTCCTCCTCCTACTCCTCCTCCTGCTCCTGCTCCTCCTTCTCCACATATTGGTTCACTTTATACTTTCATGCAATATGGAGATAATGTTTGCTCTTCGGGAGTGAGAGCAGCAGCAGCAGCATCAGGCACATAATTGCCAGGATTACGCTGGCTCATAAAGTTTTCGCCGAGCATTGTGCAATTGTGTTTGCCTTTCACTTCAATATCCTGGGGGAAAATCATAGAGAGAGAGAGAGATGTTTGGTTTATTTAATATTTAATTGATTTCATGGGCTGTTTTTTCCATTAGCCATGGCAAGATCCATTCTCCATTCCCGATTCCCCATTCTCCATTCCCCATTCTCAGGTGCTCCACAGTGGTCATTGTCCTGTGCAGCGTTTTGGAGCAGTATCCGCAACCTAATTCCACCACGGATTGGTTCAGTATTCAGTATTTAAATAAATTCTCCATCGATTGGTACGTGCCACAGGACCGCAATAGCCGCGGTCTGCGGATCAGCCCCCACTTATCAGCATCATTTTCCGGCGGCTCCCACGCGGCGTATAGTTAATAATCTTCTCTCGATATAAAAGCCGACTTTAAACTGTGCGAAAGGGAAGCTGTGGAAAAAAGGGAAATAAATTAATAACTCAAGTTCAAGTTGTAAGCCGCATCCCTTGCTGGGCAGGCAGGCAGGGCAGGACTTGTGCCGAGGCCCCCAAGTTTATTACTCAAAGGAATTGGACAGCGCCCCAAAAGTAGCAGCGGCAGCGGATGCCCATAAATATATCATGAAATCAAAAACTTTGCCACAACTTCTGCCACTGCTACTGCTACTGCGTCTGCTTCTTCTTGTGCTGCCTGCCACTTTGTTGGCTGTTCTTTTTGATTGGGGCGCCACTTCGAACCACACTTTCTGACCCCCACCCGTAAGCTTGCGTGTAAACGTGTGGGCCAAAGTGCTGGCCACACGAACAGCACAGAACAGAACAGAACACAGGAACAACATCCCTCTCTTCAGCTGAAAAGCAGAGGAGTAATGCGTTTCCGTTTCCGGTCCCCAGCTCCTTCCTGCTGCTCCGTGGTGCTCCTTGCTTGCCACTCAATTCAATAAAACTTGTGTCCATTTCATTTAAAATTCTCTATTCTATCTCCTCGGTGAAGGAGCAGCCAGGACTCTTTTGGACTCCTCTGCTCCTTTCTCCTCTGTGTTCTGGGTTCTGTGGGCTGTGGGTTGCCTGCTGCTCCATGGTCTCGCCTCGCAAATTAATGGTGTTAAAATTAGTGCTGTAGACGGAGCCCAGCCCGCATCATCCTTCTGGCCCCTGGCGGTAGAGGGAAACTTTGCCATTTGGCACTCTCTTCTATTTATTTAGTTGTCACTTTGTTGAAAATTATGCCTGCTGCCTGCCTGGTTGTTGCTTCTTCGCGCGACACGTGTAACTGGGGAGCAGGTTCTGCCCAGAAAACTCACCTTAAAGTTTTCATTTCTGCCCAGAACTTTTGACTAACTTTTTTACACCCAACTTCTTACCTTCCTTCTTTCCTTCACTCTTTCAGGCTCGACTCAGGAACGTCGCTTTTTTGGTATCCTACGTTCGACCAAACGGAAAGAAGGTAAGTGGGGACTTCTGCTGGGGGGAGGGGAAGAGTAAAGAGATACCCGAAGAACCGTAAACCGTAAACCGAGAACGGAAAACCGAACATTTCCCTAATGAAACCAATTAGGCAAACAGCAAAATGGCCAAAAACTGTGGCTGTCAAAAAATGGAATGAAAATGAAAAATCAAAGGCCAGACAAAGGGTAAACAAGCCGGCAGCCGCTGTGTGAGAAAAAGGGAGAGTGAAAATGGTGCAAATGTGAGGCAAAAGTGGGGATTGGCTCAATTACGGAATGAACACACAACAGAACCAGAAACAGGCACAGACACAGAATCCCCGGAAAAGTTTGCGTTGATTGATGGATGATTTTGCATACACGAGTGTGTAAATGTTTTGTGGTACTCCCAACAAATGAGATATGTAGAAGATAAAACATTTACAATATTGTCCCATAATTGCAACAATTGATGGCCTTTGAAGTTGTACAGTTATTTAATGAAATACCCAGGAAGGGTATCCAGATTTAGAGTAGATCGTTCAGATGTGCCAATTCTGACGAGGATGGAGGATAGAATAGGCTGGAGTGTGGAGCGTGGAGTTTGTGCCATGCAGAAAGCCATTTGCCAAAATCAATACATTTATTTAGACCGCAGGCCAGAGAGCAGGCAGGCAGGCCAAAAGCCAAAGCGAAAAGCAAATCAAATACTCGTACACAAGAACACGAGAACGAGAACGAATGCGAATGCGAATGCGAGAACAAGCGACCCACAAATGTATTTAGCATTTGGTGGAGCATTTTCTAGTGCAGCCAAATATTGTAAAGGTAACTTGACCACCGGTTACTCCATCCTCCATCCTCCATCCCCCATGCTCCACTCTGCACTCTGCACTCCAGTCTCCATCTGCATCTCTGTGCCTACATTCGTGGCGACTGTAGCGACTGCCTATTTGGTTTTGGCCAAATCGTTTTACGCTTTGTTGCCGCCAGGCATTCGGGCCCCAGCCAGGATGCAAATATGTGCAAAGGCTTAACGTATCCAATAATGCCAGAGTAGGAGTGGGAGTAGCAGTAGGAGTAGGAGATGGAGCAGAATGCCAGGAGATGGAGCCACAGCCGGAGCTGATGGACAAAGCTCTGTGGAGCTCAACCCGTCATCATTGGACACTGGTGGACGTAAGCAGCTCAGTCGCTCAGTTGTTTAGCTGCTCATCTATACGGTTGAATTTGATACCCTGCATAAGGCCTGTTCTTGGGGGTATAAGAGGCACGAGGAACGTAGCTGAGAGAAAAAAATCTATTGGTTTTGGCCTTTTCTTCTTTGAATCCATATAGGGAAGTTAATAAATAGGAATGAATAGATTAACTATGAGAAATGAGCTAAAATCGATAATAACAATTGATATAGATGGAAATTACACTTAAAAAAAAAAGATTCAATCAGAAATCGGTCAAAAACTAGACATAATGGGAGGCAATCAATCCGCAGAAATAATCGAGGGTATCCAGTAGTCGTAATGGCATTCTATGGCATCATTGATGATGGAACTTTACCACGTGCCGGGTGGATTAGGTGCGGCTTAAAGCCTAACAACTTCATTTGATCTCTGAGGGCCATACAGCTCTTAGCTCTCTCTCTCTCCCTCTCTCTCCATCTCTCTCTCTGTCTCTGTCTCTCTCTCTCTGCTCTGTCCCCTTTGCTGTCTGAGTGCAACAATGTTGCTGCTGCTGCTGCTGTGGGTCTCTGTGGTGGTGCGATTTATATCGCTGGACTTAAATGTCATTACCAGCTAAATGCCTTTAAATAGCCCACATCCATATCCACTGACCAGTTGGCGCCAGTCAAAAGTGCCATGCGGCCCACCCGTCGAGCAGCCGTCGAGGCCCAAGCGGCAGCCAGATCGGGTTCAGATTCGGATTCGGTTCTCAATTGTGGCCCAGAGCCATGGACCGGGCCCGGACCCGGGCCCGGGTAGACGCATTTATCATTTCGACCCGTGACGCGCTGTCGCCTTCAATTACACGCAAATTATTTTGCGCTCAGCGAGCGGCACCTGTGTTTGGGGCTGGCAGTTTGCCTGCAACTGTGGGGCGGTTGGAAGGGGGCGGGGCAGGGATGGGGAGGAGCGTCTTCCCAGAAGAGTGATCAATCTGCCTTATGTCAAACGGTGGCTAACTGATGCCAGTGATGCTCCAGTTCAAACGGCATCCCAGGCAGCGATTAAAATTGATTGATCAATGGCCTAATACTCATCCTAATACAAGTACTAGTACTAACACGAAACGAGCACGCATGGAGCGATCTATCAGAAGTGGACAACCAACTGGCAAGGTGTTATCTTCATCTTGATACCAGTTCTAAGAGCTACAGATAAAGCTTAAGATAGACAGAGATGAGCAGTGAAAAATGCAGGAAGAGTATCGCCAGAATGCTGGCTACACGTTCAGAGCCCGAA